ACAAACGCGAAAATCTTTTCGAAGTTAAATCAAGTTGTTTAAGGAACATGAGCAAGTTAATAGAAGATAGTTCAGGGGGATATTAATATGAGATACATATGAATTAGAAAAATGTAGCAAAATCCACCACTTGAAATAAAGAGACTCAGCATGCAAGCACGCGATTAGTAAGTCGAATGCAGTGTACTTACAAACTCTACGCCAGTTCTGCCTGCGTTCTCTGCAGGATGCGTCATGGTTTCGTTGTTGGCCTGGAGTGCCCTCGCTCATAGCTCACTAAGACTGCTTGACCCAGGCACTCGCGACCGCATGTGCTACAGCACCATGCACTCGATGTCGATGGAGTACAATCCATCGGTGCTTGCCGCTTCCGCACTTGCCACTTCTTCTCTGCATGCACGAGGGCTTTCTCCTGCACCTCGGCAACTGCCTTCGTGATCAGATCGCACCATGCACGCCGATAAACCGCCTTCCATTCCCTTGACCTGCAATCACGATTAGAACATGTGAGGCTCACTTTAATCATGTCCTGGTAACGTAACTTTGGTTTCCCCACGTGCCACTTCCCTATACTCAGCTGACCGTATAAAAGTTGTTTCGGTATCCGCGTCGAATCCATACGGTTCACATGACCGAGCCATCTCAGGTGTCGCAGTAAAAGTATGCCGTCCACTGCATACATTCCACTTCGGCGCAACACTTCCGTGTCTGCAACTCTGGCGCCCCAACCGATGCGCAAAATTCGTCGCAGACACTGCTGATGGAACCACTCGAGATATCGCACATCCCGACGATATATCGTCCACGTTTCACTGCCGTATAGAAGAACGGACAGTACCATGAATTTGTACACCACCAGCTTAGTGCTAACGGTAAGCTGATGGTTGTTCTACACTCGGTACTCCAGCTTCCTGAATACTGTCGCTGCCTTCGAGACGCGGATATGAAGTCACTGGCGTCTGCCACATGTACAGCAAATGCTACATTCTTCCCTGACACCAATGCGCTAATCATCACACTGTTCTCATCAAACCAATCAGGCCAATTACAGTTTGCGCGCCCGATGAATTCCTCCGAAGCAGCTGTCACCTGGTCGCGAATGTCGTGCCACAGGTCGCCCACTGTGACTAGGCAGTCCACATCACACAGACTTACAGCCATCGCCTTCTCCAGCTCAGTACGTTTCGCCACAGTACCGAAGGAGAGAATGTTAGATTTATGCCGATTCACGGCTGGAGTGCAATACATAGATTTACGAAAATATGTGTACAGTTTGGTCCGCACCAATTTGTGTTGAGTGCCACACTCAGCTCCACGCAGTACACGTGTCATGCGCATTTCACGCATATCACGCTGACGTACGATGACATAGTCGAGCAGGTAAGGCTGACCACTCCGTGGGTGTGTCCAAGTTGCTATATCACTCGCACTCAGTGCAAACCGTGTGTTCGTGGTCGTCAGGCCGCGAGTGGCACACAGTGAGAGCAGCCTGTCACCGTTCGCACTCGCTGAACCAATACCATGCAAACCGATAACATCTGTCCACACAGATGCATCATGCCCAACTCACGCGCTGAAATCAACCAGTAGAAATGGTCGGTTGCTCCACGGTACAGAAGGTAACACGGATTCTTAAGTGAATAATTGATCATGCGTGTCATCAGGATAACACATGGTCGGACCGTACATGCTTATAAAGGTGGCAAACTTACGTCTTCCGAGCCGTAGGCGAACAGTCATCAGTCGCGCACTGATGCCTGTTGGTTCACCCACCAGCTGGCCATGGACGCGATCGGTTATCGCAAATCCGAACCCATGTTCATGTGATGCTAATGTGGTGTCGCCCACCCAGTACAACGTGTAGCCAGCATCTGCTCCATGCAACTTACCTTGCTTTTCGAGCTAGGTCTCATTGAGCGCCGCAATATCGATGTGGTAGCGCGCCAGCTCCACCGCGACCAGTGCAGTGCGTCGCTCGGGTGGCTCACTCGAGTTCCGGTCCAGTAGTGTGCGCATGTTCCAGCACCCGATGCTGAGTGCTTTGCGCGCAGGCATACCATTGCATTGGTGGGCAATCGCACACGAGGTGGCGGTTGTGCTTCGGAGGTTTACTTGAGGGACTCCGCCCGGAGCCTTTGGCTCAATAGTCTGACCCACAAGGCAGTGGGCAGCAAATCCAGCTCGGGAATGTGATTGCAGAGATAGACTGGGATCTGCATTAGGTCCGACGCACGCAGCCTTTGGAGAGCTGGGACAATTTTTATATGTTTTCCGACCGTAATTGGATACGCACCTGCGACCACGGCCAGACGCAGGTGGGTTTTTGGCGGGTTTGCACCAATTTGACCAGGGGCTGTCTGGCTTGAGGCGGGCAGTAGCAAACCATTGAACACCCGGCGGTGCCCTCCCACTATCAGAGACAATGGGTGGCGCTCATGCTCTACGCCAATTGAGCTGTGAGCTTATAACCCGTAGACCCGTTGTTTCCCATGGCTAGGTTTTACAGGAAGAGGACCATCGACCACTTCCTAACCTCCGGAGAGGATGGACTAGGATGCTGGCAGGGCGCATACACCTGCCAGGAGAACGACTCGGGTCCTCAGCCAAAGCCTTCGATTAAATGAACACCCGAAAGGCAGCGGGTCTAGCACATGGTCAATTCACTGACTCATGCGGATTAGTGTCCTGGATCTTAAAAGGGAGAAGGGCGTGACCAAACACTCCGGCGGTCGCCACTTGGAGGCGTCCAGGACATGCCCCCATAGCACAACAGTAACATCAGTGGGTAGACAACCTGTTAGGATCTAGCCACCCCCAGTCTCAGTGCACCACTGGCTCTCCTGCCTTCATTCCTAAGGTTCACACGTAAGGTAAACGGCTGCCGGAACATTATGAGATAAAGTGCCGGAAAGCGCTGGCTTGGCAGATATCCAGCAAGGAGGTAAACTAGTAACGATTTTAGACTACAGATTTACATATACCCATTCATATACATACTTGTATTTTAGAATTGATACTGGATAATTTCCTTGCACAACTCCATGATGTCTGCCAAACGAGCGCTTTCGAGCACTTCATGTCATAATGACACTGCAGCGGTTTATAGCGATTGTAAAATCCAAGACATGCAGAATGTTAGGTCTACTTCAAAGACGACCGAGGTCTAAATAGAGATTGTAAGTCGCAATCCAACTACTCAGCTGGTACACTAAATGCCACTTGGAATTCTTTACCACAGTGCCTAGCGTTGCTCGCGGATCTTAGACCAATAGTGGTCAAGACTTCAACCTTTTAACACTTAGCCTCGAGGTCCATTTCAGCTCAGCTTTCACCATTGGATGAGTCCAAAGGAGGACGAAATCGGTTATGGGGTGTCAAGGTTGTGAAGAGCAACACCGAACTACCAATTCGGATACGGTCCATGTGATCGTAATGACCAAAGTCTACTACAAAGAGGACCGAGGTCTAAATCGAGATTGCGAGTCGCCATCCAAGTACACAGCGGGTACGTCAAATGACCCTTGGCATACGTGCTTTTGATTTTGTTAACAAACTGACTTATTAACGCTCTGCATAACATTGCCTGTAAAACTCCGTATATAAAAAGGAAACCTTGGTCTTTTTCAAAGCCTCCAACCCTGGAACGCCTTTTCAAAATCATTTATCTATGCTTCCAGTTTGGGCATTTCCAAACTACCTCCGTATAGGTCAGGTCCTTACAAACTGTTATAGAAAAGGATATCCGGAAATAGTTTCCTGTTAGGTCGTTTTTCCCCATTTTACTCCATGTTGTGGCATGTAAGTGCAGAAGGGGGAGCGATTCCTATTTTCTTTACAGTAAGCATTAACCATGATAAGTTGATGCCATTTAAGTAGCTAACGCTACTTTCAATATAGCATTGTTCCGTCGCTTTACCGATAGACATCTTATTTTGGTATGTTTACTCCTCTAACTTGCATTAAGCATGCATTAAGCTCATGCTTTTTAACCGTTATAAACCACTGTTCCAGTCGCACCTTACTAACGTCCTTCGGCACCTCGATTTGGTAATGAATGGTCGCATAGTTGTTAACGACACACACTCATTTTGCTTGTCAACTTCTGTAGTTAGGTTGCCAAGTTTCCTTGTCCGTCCAATCTGAGTTAGTGTGGCGCACTTGTCACGGATAATTTTTGCGCTATCCTCCTCTCAATTGGGGATTGCACATGATCATGTGCTTGTGTTAAGTATCATTCTATCGCAACAATTACTGTCGGTGTATAGAAGGCATTACAGAAGGGCTGATGAACAGCATTCTCCTGCGGATTACCACGGATTACGGCGGTGTTCCAGGACGTGGTGGTGGCAAGGCTTCTCCCTATAAAAGCCACAAATGTCCGCTTAACAACAATGCAACGTGGCGGATGTGACTCGCCACTGAATAAAGTCACAGCTGAGGATTTCACACTGACGTAGTCATCAGACATCTACATACAACCAGTGCAACTGTCTTTGTTTTGGAGAATGCTTTGATGGAGCATCCAAAATTTCGAGCTTTTAACGGACGACGGTTGCATCGAAATCTTACGTTGGCTCCTGTGCTCATGGTTTACTATATTGCGAAATCACGTCCCACGTGTATCCTGACACAACAGTTATGACTGAATTTTACGCGCCCTAGCACCATCATGTTCCTTGGTCGGACTATTACCTGACAAAATGCTCACTCGTATAAACTACAAGATTTCGGTTATACCTTTCATTAAAACGAAATGTTTTACTATTCCAAAGCAGCTATACTTGTATGCATATTTGATCGCACCTTCACTGGTGTGCCTCGTTTTACCGTGAAGTTACCATGTATTTATTTATTTATTTAGAAAATTCTTCACGTTCATGATACTGTCCAGTCGTCTGTAAAGCTTGGAAATTAAACGAACTTTCACGAATCACGCGGAGACTATCCGTGGAATTTAAGAACCGTAACGCATTCGATTTCATTTCAACATTCAAACTCACTCTATCCAGGGTGTAAACATCATAATCACCGGGCGGTTGTAACACCGCTCCGTCGGGTTGTAGTCGTTCGGAACTCTTCCCATCCGTGTGGCTATGGCCTGTCGCCTCGGGTAAGCCACCTCTCACGTTTGCTCGCGTGCGGCTAACTGTACTGAATTTGCCTGTGAGCAATCCGGCGCCGTATGACTTCGTATCCGACAGTTGTTTTACCA